TATAAGCATAATAAGCATGCATAAGCATATGTATACATATGCATACCTAATCAAATACATTGTTACTATTATAATTTTGAACAAACTGTTATTAAGAAAAAGAAAAATTTTTCTTTTAATTTTGCCTTCATTTATTCATACTCCAATGCTCTTTTCTTTTTGTAGATCTAAGTTTTTGACCTATATTAATTTCCTTCTGCCTGAAGAACTTTTTATAACATTTCATGCAAGGCAGGTCTAACTGACAACAAATGTTCTCAATTTATTTTTTGCCTGAGAATGTCTTTATTTCTCCTTCATTCTTGAAAGTTAATTTTTCAGGGTACAGGATTCTAGGTTGGTAGGTTTTTTCTCTCAACACTTCAAATATTTCATTCCACTTTCTTCTTGCTTGCATAGTTTCTGAAAAGAAGTCAGGTGTAATTCTTATGTATGCTCCTTAACAGGTAAGGTTTTTCCCTCCCTCTTGCTTCTTTAAAGATTTTTTTCTTTCATTGAGTTTCTGCAGTTTGAATATAACATGCCAACGTGTAGGTTTTCTTTTTGGTATTGGCATTTATCTTGCTTGATGTAGTCTGACCTCCTTGGATCTGTGGTTGGTTCCTTTCATTAATTTGGGGAAATTCTCAAGTCATTATTGCTTCTAATATTTTTGTTTCTTTCCTTCTTTTTATGCTATTCCCATTACATGTATGTTATACTTTTTGTAGTTGTCCCACATTTCTTGGATATCTTGCTCTGCTTTTAGTCTTTTTTTTGACCCTTTCCTTTTTGGCTTGGAAGTTTCTATTGAGATATCCAGAAGCTCAGAGATTCTTTCCTCAGCCATGTCCAGTCTATTCATGAACCCACCAAAAAGTATTCTTCATTTCTGTTAATGGGTTTTAATCACTAACATTTTTTTTGACTTTCTTAGAATTTCCATCTCTCTGCTTACATTGCCTGTCTGTTCTTGCATATTGTCTACTTTATCCATTAGAGCCCTTTGCATATTAATCACGGTTGTTTTAAGTTCTTGGTCTGATAATTCCAACATCCCTGCCATATCTGAGTCTGGTTTTGATGCTTGCTCTATCTCTTTAAACTGTGTTTGCCATTTAGTATGCTTGTGACTTTTTCCTTGATAGCTGAACATAATGTATGGGGTAAAAGGAACTGTGGAAAATAGGATTTTAGTGATGTAGTAAGGTGTGGGGGGAGGGGAAGTGTTCTATAGTCCTATGGTCAGGTCTTAGTCTTTTGGTGAGCCTGTGCCTCAGACCGTGAACTTCGCCAGTGCTTCTTAGTCTCCCCACCCCCTTAGAACAGGATGGCTAGAGTGAGCTGGAGTTGGGTATTTCCCTTCCCCTAGGTCAGTTAGACTCCGAAAAAAGAAAGCCTCAATAATTTAGACTCTGGTAAAATACTTTCTCCTTTGGGCAGACCTTGTGAAAAAGAATAGAATGCTCTGGTGTGTTTAAGAATTACTTTTGCCTTTCTCCTCCTGGAGTATTTGCTTTGAGAACATGGCTGAGCTCCTGGAGGTAAAACTCACAAAAGTGTGGGGGTCCCATGATGATGGGGTCCCCCTGGGGTTTTTGTCTCCTAGACCTGTCCTCACTGAGCCTCCAGTAATGAGTCAATTACAGTTCAGGTCTTCCTTACCCCTAGCACTGGTTCCCACAGAGGTTCTTGCTTGTGGGTTTCTACTCTGGTAAGTTTTGATTCTATTTGCCTGTCTCTCTCTCCAACTTTAGGGGCAGTGGTTTGCTCTGTGACTTCACTTCTATGACAGATCTAACAAGAGTTCTCAATTTTTTAGTTTGTTCAGCTTTTTACTTATTGTTAGAATGCAGTGGTGACTTCCAAGCTCCTTATGTGCCAGACTGGAAACTGAAAGTCTCCTATTTAGTAGTTTTTAAAAACTGCAAACTGGAATTTGCTGATGATGTATTGTAGAGATTCTGATTTCTGTTATCTGAGAGTGTTGATTTTTGTTCTCACAGGCAGTTAGTAGTGGATTCCTTTGGACTTGTGGAGGTTTGGTTTTACACTTTGGACTGGTCTTCCAGATTTTGCTTTTACTCTTAGGCAAATCCCTTAGTCCTGGGACATGGTCTCTACTACCAGCATGAACCTTTTGGGACTTCAGTAGAAAATCTGAGGTGTTTATCAAGCCTCTCTAATTTAATAAAACTCACACTCTAAACTCTATCTTCCCTGCAGTAAGTAGCAGCAGAAATGCCTGCTGGCCTATTTCAGCCTTCTGGCTGTTGCTAGAATCTGTCCCCTGTGCATGTGCAGTTCAGGGGTTGGCCAAGGATTTGAAGGGAGTCTATATGCAGATTTTGAGGTTTCCCTTCTATGATTTTCTTCTTACTGGGATTTCCCCCGTCAATTTTCAGCTGCAGTGGTGGCCCTGAACTCTGTCCTCTGACACCTAGGCCAAAGAGACCTCAGCTTTCTTCTTGAGTTCTGGCTGCTCCATGCTGTACTGACTTCCCCTTGGGAGTGTCCCCAGGGGAAAAATTTTGAAACACAGATTCAAACCAGTGTGACTTCCTTCCTTCAAGGGTCAGATCCTTCCAGTTTCTGTCTTGGTTATTTTCTAGTTTCTTTAACTGGTTGTTTCTTTAAAAATATGTTGCCTAGGATTTATAATTATTATCTAGAGGAGGATTAGCTGTATACAAACTATTCCACCATTCATTAAGTGGAGTTCTTTATGTTTTATAAGAGGTGTCAGCCCCAACTTTTGCTTGACTGATTGTCAGAGCTCATGTCACTGCCCTTTACTGGCAATGAAGGATAGCCAAATTCTACTCCAAACTCTAGGCAAAGACAGCAACTATTCATCTCTGCTGAACAACCTGACTCTCAGTCTCAGGAGGAAAACCATTAATAGAGCATTGCCTAAAGGCTATGTGATCAACTCATTCTTCTCAATATTTCGAATTTTATTTTTGCTCAGATTGGACCAGAAAGCTGCGTCCTTAGGTAGTATGGCTTTGGCCCCTGCGGATTTCCTTTTACTGAATTGTACTTTGCCATTTTGTTTCCTCTTGTAGTGAAGGGTGTGCTCAAATATCAGCTAGATTATCCTAATTGCACGGTTGTGTTTTTCACAAGAAAGTCACTGGGCATCACATCATAAGGGGTCCCCTGTAGGAGAAGCCAAATTTCCCTCAGACCTCAGTGCCAGAGAAAGTACTTTCTCCTGAGCAATTGATAAGCTGCTTTCTTATTAATGTTTGTAAAGTAGGTGTTTAGGGAATCCTATATTTCTGGGGGCTATCCTTTGCCTTAATTCCCTTTGTTTATTCAATTATATTATATTATATTTATTTCTACCAGATACCTTAACTTTTTTTGTATAGAAAAGGGAAAAAAAAAATGTCACTTGAATCATTAAGAGTCAAGCGTGCTGTCTTTGCTCCAAACACTTTTGACACTCTTCTTTTGGGACTACCTGAATAGCCAGATAATAATCTGTATAAGATGTTCATCTGCAACCCAAAGTAAAATTACTCACCTTGCCTTCTCACCTAATTCACCAATTGGTGTTCAAGAAATCAATCTTCAAAAAGATCAAATTTACTCCCAAAGGGAAAAGACTAAGGATATGTGAAAGGATGTTCTCCGGGCTCTGAAGGCAAGTCCCGTGAGAAGTTCCAATTCATTTTGGACAATGGGATAATCAATGGAAGAAGCCAATAGATTCTCAAGGTAATTTCTTTGACAGAGAAATCATTTGAATATTCAACTTCTGGTATATTTGAGTTAATTTAGAATCAATCACAGCTCTGCTCTTTACAACATAAGGCCACAGTTGGCTTTAATGGGGCATTCATTGTCATCCTCTTTGTAGGTGGAGCCAAAGCTTGTGATGGGAGCATTGGGCCAGAGCAGCACCATGAGCCTCCCCTTATTTTCAGTCTAGAAGATGATCCTGCAGAACGTGTGCCTCTAGACAGCGGTGGTGCCCAATACCAGACGGTGTTGCCCAAGGTCAGACAGGCTCTCACAGATGTCCTTCAAGACATTGCCAATGACAATATCTCCAGAGCGGATTACACTCAGGATCCCTCTGTGACTCCCTGCTGTAATCCCTACCAAACTGCCTGCTGCTGCCATACCGCCGAACAGACCGATTTTTCCACAGGAGGAGTATCTGGAAATTAAATGGGCAAGTTCACTTTGAAACTTCAGTTTTACCTTCTTTACAAATACATGCTTTAAAAAGAAGTCTTGGAATTTTGCTTATGCCTCTGCACACGTCCTTTGCACCCTGTCCTTCTCCATGCCAACTAGAGAGAACAGCTGAGCCAAGCTGGCCTGGGGACAGTGAGCGTGGTGTGGCGGAAAGCACATGGGCTTTGGAGGCAGGCGAGGTTCAAATGCCAGCTATTGAACTTGGGTGGCTATTTACACTAACTCGTGAGTTGATCTTGAGGATTGAATAAGGCAATACGTGAAAACGCCTGGCATGTTACCTGACACAGAGCAGATACTCAGTACATTTTTAAGTCCCCAGTTCTCTGGTCATTTTAGCACAGATTCATTCCCACCAGTACCTGGAGCAGAGCTTGTGAAAACGCCTGGCATGTTACCTGACACAGAGCAGATACTCAGTACATTTTTATGTCCCCAGTTCTCTGGTCATTTTAGCACAGATTCATTCCCACCAGTACCTGGAGCAGAGCTTCTCCATCTTTAATAGGCACACAGATCACGTGGGATCTTGTGAAGATGTGGCTGACTCAGTGGGTCTCGAGTGGGCCCTGACATCCTGCATTTCTAGCAAGCTCCCAGGGGAGGCCTTGAGTAGCATGAGTCTAGACTAGACCAAGTTAGGTCTGTTTCCAGGTCTCAGAGCAGAAGAGTCCAAGATAAGTCTGTGGCCCTGTCCCCATAGTCCCTTATAAAGGTCAAATGACTGTATTTTAAAGATTTTAGGAGTTCTTCCCACCCCCCTAAAAACTGAACATATTAAACAAAATACATTTTAAACACCTCAAAAATGCATTGCCATGATTTTATTATTAGTGTCCTAAATGGGACTCAAAGGTAATACGTGATTTATCCCAATCACTGTAAAAATACTTTGCCTGGCTAAAATAGTCTCTCTAAATATGTATGTAATATACAAGAAGTACAATTCCAAGAGATTTTCCTATACGTACATTTTTACACAGCATACATTTAAAAAGGATGCCCTTTTTAATATAAAATTCCGGTTATATACCAATATGGTTAGTTAGCATTTGCACTCTGGTTTGAACATATTTTAAATGGCATAATGTGTATATAACGTCTTCCATGCCCACTGGCAGCTGGGGCTGAGGGCACCTGGGTGAGGAGTTAACCATGTCCTGTGGCGTAGGCAGCACCGCGCCCGGGACTCCTGCCCCCCTTTCTGCTCACACAACTGCTCTCCATTCTTCCACCTTCCTTGTTTTCTCCAAAACCACCTGATAGGGGAGGTCCTGATTTCTGAGGTGTGCGTCTCATCATGACTGCTTCGTTTTGCCCTTCTGACTTCCACGGCACAAGATTATCTACCAAAATCAAAACAGAATGGCCTTACTCTCTCCAGGAAGAGGCTGGCAGGTGGGCTGTGTCATCAGCAGGTCTATGCCCATGCAGGGGCCGCAGGGAGAGGCTGGGCACTGCGGAGCTTTGCCATCTGACCACGCATTGACCCTCACTTGTGGCCACAGAAAGTTCAACCCCCTTAGTCAGGGGCAGATGAGCATGGCACAGTTTCAGACAATACTGACTGTATATAAAATATGTGTGTGTATATATTTATATGTATATGTGTATTTTTAAAAAAGGCTCATTTTACTTGTAAACACAGACTGCTAAATTACTATTAAAAAGTCAGTTACTGTCAATCGCAAGATTGAGACTGGTCTCACAAAATATGCAGACTTGTAAAGGCTGGCTTGTTCCTGAAACAAAAGCTGCTCAGCCTCCCGAAAACGGCATCTTTCTAAGGTTCCAGAAATGATCAATTCTTTGACTGTTCTTGGAGCAAAGTAAATCCCAAAGAGGTCAGAGTGATCATATGCAGCGAGGTGTCAGTATGTTTTTAAAAAGATCACTAGTGATGACCCATGTTCTTACATCAAAGGCCCAGGCAGCCCCTGATGCGGACTACTCAGGCAAGCCTAGGTTCATTTCTAAAAGAGAAGTCATTTTAACCAAGCTGAGATTCCGAGATCCTTTTGTGATCCCAGGAGCTTTAAGGAATGTGAGTAAAGATGTGGATTCTGGACAAATATTTGCAACAGGCATGACAATTCAGAATGAAGGCAGAGAAAAGACGTTTTCTAGCCTCCCCAGCTGAACGTTTCTGCCAATATAGGCATGACTGAGATGGGTCGTGTTGAGAGAGCATCCTGGTGGCACTCATGCCCCGAGCCCCTGCCTGCTCCGGAGTCAGCACCTCAGTGGGAGCGCTGTCCCCTCCTCACAGCTGCCTGCAGGCTCGAGGGCATGACGCCTGGCACCAGCCCTGCATAGTGGCTGCCTGACACGTGCAGGGATCCAACAACCATTCTAGGGGTCTTATTCGGCGACCAACATTCTCATTGGCAGGAAGCATTTCTTGTGTGTAAATAAAAATTCCTGACATAATTTAAACCAACTTTCATTTGGTCCTTAAGAGGGAGACAGGACAACTGGCTTGTACCCAACTTCCTGGCAGTGTACAGGTGAACAGGCCTCGTGACGAGTTTCAGCACTCGTTCTTACATTAAGTATCTCCAACTCTTTTTTAACCCCAAACAAATGTTCTACGTAGGGTACCTATTATTTTATACAGGTTTTTTCTTTGGCAAGGGACTATCTATTGAATGCCAATATCCAAATTACCCCAATTCTGAAAATAGAGGTTGTAAGATTTCCTCTGATTAGTATTAAGAATCTAATTAACAACCTCGTAATCTTTTATAGTGGTCACAGACTTTTACCAAAACTCCTGAAATGGAACCTGACGAATGTCAGAGGTTGTAAGATTTCCTCTGATTAGTATTAAGAATCTAATTAACAACCTCATAATCTTTTATAGTGGTCACAGACTTTTACCAAAACTCCTGAAATGGAACCTGACGAATGTCTGGAAGCTCTAAATCTTGATGCAGTAGAATTTTCACATTTGTCTCACTGAATCTGACCTAAAGTGCTCTGGTTCCTGAAAGATGCAACTTCGGGTAATTAACCACTAATGTCTGGGGAGACAGAAAAACTCCCTTTATGGCTAGTTGGGGCCATGAGAACCCAAAGGCAAAACAGCTGGTTTATGGCTAGGCAGAGAGCCAACAGATGTTTTTAAATTTATATTAGTATTTTTAAGAACTGCTACTCTCCACCACTAAAATATAAACTTCACTTGTTGGCAATGTATTTGGCAACCTGCCTGTTTCAAAGCCAGAAATGTAAATGTCCAGCTCTAACCCAGAGTCAATATGGGAAACCACCAACGCCACCCCCCAGTCATGCCCAAAGGGCCCCACCCCATGACAGCTGTGGGAGAAAGAAGCCAGACCTGTACTCCATCTTTTTACAAATGGAATCCCAACTGACACAAATAATGATCAGGAGAAAACATTCCATACCGAGGCCTCATGGGCATTGCCTCAGTTCCCCCACGGCTACTCCTCTCTGGCTCTAGGAGTTGATCCTCAAGTCTTGGCCCAAACACTGCTTCTTGTCTCTAAATAATTTCATGTTGACTATCTGGGATGTTTTCTAACTGAAGCTCACAAGAGGGGTCTATATATTGGTCCAAATGAAAGCTTGAAGAATCAGAAGCTGAGGGGGCCCTGGCAGCTACCCAGGGAGAGAATCTTTTCTCCAGATACAGATGCCAGAAGAAGCTGAGCCTAGCACTCAACCAGTCCTGGGGGCCTATCTGCCGGAACAGCTGGAGCGGGATGCTGGGAAACCCAGCTGAAGGTGCCCAGACGAGTACCTCGGCTCCTGCCCTCCACACAGTTGATTCTTAATGAGGGCCTGCAGCTGCTGGGGAGGCTTTGGTCTGCCCTGCCAGAGCTGGAGGTGGGTGAGGGTCGAGCTCCCTGCTAAATTAGCACCTCCAGCAAAAGGAACACAGCATTCTGCAAAAGCATCCTAAGAGCCTCAGGAAAATAAGTTACACAGACATAAGTTCCTACCTTATGAGCAGCAAGTCAGTGCTGCAGAAGCAAAGAAAGGATTCCAGGCCTCTGTTTGCAGTGAGGCCCCGAGACTCCCTGGATTAGTATTTGGTTATTCTAACGCTGTCAGGGTTCAGCACCACACCTAAGGCTAGTCTGTAGGGTCGGAAGCACACAATACAATAAACATCCTATGGCTTTCTGAATATTAGAGAATAGGATTAGTTGTTATAGACTAGAAGACAGGGAAAGTGACTTCGCCTCTTGTGTGAGGTGAAGGTTTCCTTTCTAAACATACAGACTGAGCCGCTCTTTTAAGGATTCCTAATGCTCACAGGGGGAAATTCATTCTCGTCGTCAAGACACACTGGTCCCGTCGCAAACTCATGTTCAGGAATAACCTCTCCTCGGAGCGCCCCGCCGTCCTCCGAATACCCTGGAAATCAAGAATGAGAAATGAAACAAGCCACGAGGTCTGTTCTGACACCATGACTTGGGAGCAGGACTTCGGAAAAAGGGAGAATTGAAGGACACCCTGGAGGGCATCTTTGCCTTCCGTCTGGAGAGACTGTGCTGAAAATGAGTTCAAATCTCCACCCATTCCAGCCTCTAAGTCTCTAAGAGACATACAGGTGGTCCCAGCAACCATTCCACCCCAGATGCCTGAGACTTTCCCCTGTTTGGAATTCTCGTAGAGGCAAAAGGTTAGGAAAGTGGCCATCTTGTGCCATGCCTGCCAGGGTTAGGGACCCAAGTTTAAAGGCCACTACCATGGCCTCACCTGTAAGGAAACAGACAAATCCCAGGAGCGTGCACCATCCCCAGAACGCAGTGAAGGGAGGAGAAGGTCCCCTGTGAGAGAAGCTCCCCCGTGGGCCCGCACGTCCACTCACCTGGCACCGTGGAGGCTGAGGACGTGCTTGGTCTGGCTACGGTTGCTGCATAAGACTGAGGTAAGGAAGGTCTGAGGTCATTTTCTTTATTCTCTTCTGCTGTTCCTGAGCCAAACAAGCTGCTTGCAGCAGGTAAGAGAGAGTGGGGGGAGAAAAGAAATCATCACCCATCTAGACCACCTTCAGAAGGAAAAGCACAAGGGAGCTCATGCTCGGCTACTCGAGTGTAAATTACAGACCTCCCAGTACACTGCCAGGTCAGCATGGAGGGACCTTGCACTACCAGGGGTCAGTCACACAATTTCAAAGCGGCCCCTTTCTCTTCCACTTAGTGAGCAAAGATTGGCCCTCTGCTCTTCCTGGGACCCCCAGGCAGGGACGCCAGACATGCTGACAAGGGGAGTGACATGAGCGAGGGGCAGTGGTGGCTCCTGGCGACCTGTCCACAGCAGGCAAAGAGGTCAGCCTGCCCCTGGTCACAGAGGTCATGAGAACTTCTCAGCTCAATTCTGTGGACAGTCCTGGGCACCCACTATACACTAGGGGCTGTCCTAGGAGGGCAGGCTGAGCGGGGAGACGTTCCATTTCGCGTGTTCTTCATCCTGTCACACCCAGGGCACCTGATCTAGAGCCCAGCACATGGCTGATGCCTGCTAGGTAGAGTCGGCCACCAAGACCACCAGCGAAGAGGAAATAAAAGCAAGAGTACAGAAGCTCGTCCTAGTTCTTGGCGAGGTGACAACTCTACACCGGCTCTGGAAAGGCTCTTTTGAAAACTGGCGTCTTCACCTGTGGGTCTTGACTAAGACACATTCTCCTCCATCCTGAGGGTCCAAATTGTAGATGTAAAGGTGCCCACCGGAGGATGCAACTAACAGCCTTGGCAATTTCTGGATCCTAAAAGTCAAGGAAACGTGAAACATGATTATAGTGAAGATGGGCCCCAGACTAGCTTTGACTGACCCTAGCTGTCACCAGCTTCTCCTCTTGCCATCGACAAGCCCTCAGCCCACTGATCCAGAGCCTGGGCTTCTGGCTGGTCCTTCGTGTGAGTCAAGGAAACGTGAAACATGATTATAGTGAAGATGGGCCCCAGACTAGCTTTGATTGACCCTAGCTGTCACCAGCTTCTCCTCCTGCCATCGACAAGCCCTCAGCCCACTGATCCAGAGCCTGGGCTTCTGGCTGGTCCTTCGTGTTCTGACCTAGTGACCTATTTTCAGGATTGTTTCTTGTCTTTGAACACAACTGTTCAAAAACTGATAAGGCAAAACAACGTGCAGATGCTATGATCCTGTGGAAGGCACCTGCCAGCAAACGCATTAGCCACTAAGTGGGACGAGGTCTCTGCATACGTGTGTCCCTGCCTGTCGCTGACAGGAAGGGCAGACTGTGTACAACTGGCTCGTGTCTTTGTGCGTTAATTTTATAAAACGTTTTAAATGTTCAACTTAATAAATTCCTTTAAACTTCTTAGATAGAACATCTGTCAGCCCCATAGGTGTCTAAACCTGGATAATGGAACTAGAGGCTTTTTGTACAACTATATATAAAAAAAAAGAACTGTTTTCAAGATGGTGTCATTATAACCCGAAGGTTAAAATCTCCACGCCAGCTTCCAGCTGCTCCCTGACAGTCATATCAAAATCAGCTAGGAAAAGCAGGGATTTGATTCTGCTCACTTTTCTTTCTGGCCATTTTTTTCTTTTTCTTTTCACAGGTTGAGGGATTTTGTGCTTTGGGAAAATAAATTTACAAAAGCGTGCACTTGTTTAGGGTGGGTGGCATCGTATTGTACGTACACTGAGAGGGCACAGATGTTCCTCTGCCCAGAGAAGTTCAGGCGGCCGGTGGCGAAAGCCCTGTCCTGATTCATCATGTCCGACACCTGGGCGGGGAGGTAGTTGGTAGCAGCCATGAACATCTTTCCCATGTAGCCGCTCCAGGTTGAAGGCTCTTCCGGCCGGCTAGGGCAGCAACACACAGGCAGAGAGGGGACTGAGCTGCAGGGCCGGGCAGGCACCGGCAATCCACACACCCGAGCCTCATGAGCTGCGCTCACTGCGACAGGCAGAAACCAGGCCTCAGCAGCGTGTGCTGCCGCCCAGAACGACTCGGGACATACTATTCTGGCAATAACCAAAGAGCACTGAGGGCTTGTTTGTCCTTCAGGAGAGCCACTGTAAAGCTGTTAAAAGGTTCCCCATGCTACTGCTTTGCTACATTAGGCAAGTTGTATCTGATGATTAATCTGATTCCTAGATCTCCCAAAGAGGGCTTAGGGTAGAGAATGAGATGGAATCGATAACTGGACGTGGTAAAATAAGCTCAAGCCTGCCTTGGGTTCACGGAAGAACAGACAGATCTCAACGTGAAGGCCTCCTGAGCCAGACGGAGTGGGAAGCAAATGTCCGGGCAAGACACTTGGGTGGTGTCTGATTACAGCCCTGGAGCCACCCAGGTATCTGGCTAACAGTGGGGAGAATTCAAAGGGACCTAGTACGTCCACTACAGTCATCAAACTTCATCCCGAGGCCTCCATCATTCAAAGGGGTGTCTGCTCTGTTGGAGAGAGACACCCCGTACTCTGTTCTGCACAGTGGGCAACACACTGAGGACCAGGGCTGCCACCCGCATTCCCGGGGGCACTGCTGAGAGGGCGCTTGTCTTTGGGACTAGGTCCTGCTGGGAAACTGACACTGTAGCTCAGAAGCTCTGGGCTTTATGTCTCACTCTGTTACCAACTGGCGAGGTGGTCTCTGGACAAAGCTCTCTGAGCCCTGCTGTTCTCGGCTGAAAGCGGACCCTTCTAGATGCGCTACTATGATTCTGTGGTCTGAAGCATCACGAGATGTACCTGTACTGACTGCCCTAGAGCCCTGCAAACACGTGTGACATCCGGTCCCTGCATTCAAGGTGGAGACGCAGCAGACACATGAAAAGAATCAACTGAGCACTTAACGAATGGTGCTGCAGAAATGGTGGGGCAGGAGCTACTCCAGGGCCGCAGGGGTGTGGGGGGGAAGGGGAGGTTCCTTGACCTCGGTTTCCATGTTTCCTCATTGGAAAACAGCGATAATCACAGGACTCCCCCTGACAGGTTTGCTGGGAGAACGAAAGAGTACAGCCTGGCTATGGCAAATGCGGTTCTCTGCGGGTGCCTCTGAGGCTGTGGGATTGAGAGGTTCCAGGGTGGTGGCCGGGGGGTCTCCAGGCAGGCCTGACTCCCTGCGGGAGGGAGAGAGCTGGGAATTTATTCCCAGGGACAAGGGGGAATAAAGGTTTCTGAGGAGGAAGTGTCACGTTCAAGGGGGCATTTTCAGAAGATTAACGCGGCAAGAAGATACAGGATGGACTGGTAAAAAGAGACTTGCAAGAGTGAGACCAAATAGAAGGTGATGAAGGGGGTAGCAGGAGGTGAAAGACGTGGCCGAGGGGGTGACTGGTGGCACAGGACTGAAGAGGCGAATGCGGGCGGGGACCTCACAGCTACAGCCGCGAGGACCTGCCTGCTTGCCGGTAAGAGGAAGGAGCTTGGAGGGGGCTCCTCCAGAGGAGAGCGTGGCTGGCTGACACCTCCACCTCAGCCTCTGAGACTCTGAGCCAAGGACCCAGCCATGCCACCCTGAGCTTGTGACCTGCAGGACTGTGAGATGGCAAACGTGTGCTGGTGGAAGCCGTTCAGTTTGTGGTGATTCGTTACAGCAGCAGTGGAAGAGTAATATACACACAGGGCCAGCCCTCACTCTGCTCCTGCCAGTCACCCTCATGGGCACGGAATGTCTGCTGTGTGCTGGTGGAAGCCGTTCAGTTTGTGGTGATTCGTTACAGCAGCAGTGGAAGAGTAATACACACACAGGGCCAGCCCTCACTCTGCTCCTGCCAGTCACCCTCATGGGCACGGAATGTCTGCCAAGCACTCAGTGGTAGCAGTAACAGCAGTAATGAACATATTAGTATACTCATGGCTATACGGGCTGACACTTGTCAGTGCTCACTGCGAGCCTGTGCTGGACACTGTACTAAATGCTTAGGTCAACAAACTAATTTAGTCCTCACAGCAAGCCTGAAATGCAAATACAGACATGCGTCACTTAACAACAGGGACGCACTCTGAGAAAAATACGTCGTCAGGCAATTGTGTCATTGTGTTGTGCGAAAGTGTACGATAAGAGGGAATGACAATGAATTTTCCTATTCTCTGTGCTGGCTGCATGAGCGTGGGCCTCGGATCACATTCCTAAGTCTCTCTGTGCCTCACTTTCCTCGTCTGTTCAATGGGGATTAGAAGAACACCATCCCCACACAGTTACGAAAATTAAATTACAGGTAGGAATTGTGCCTGGGGCTCAGCAAGTGCTCAGGGAGTGTTAGCTAACTGTTGTTAGGCATTGTTTGACTATGGGGATGGGTGAAAACCATTTAAAAATGCTAAAATTCTAAAGTCGATAACCACCCTTTCACGTGGGGTCAGACCTAGTGCGTCAAATGCTTGGCTTTTTCTACCCTAAAGGTCTGCACTACCTTTGGGAGAGTCCCCTGTGGGTAAGCCAGGGGCTCGTCCTCCGCATATTTGGCAGTAGGTTGGTTTACACTGCAAACACACGAGTAATGTGTTGTGCCATGATGTTACAACAGCTGTGATGTCATTAGGCGATGTGAACTTTTCAGCTCCGTTATAATCTTATGGGGCCACCTTCGTGTCGTAAGTGCAGTCCATTGTTCACAGAAATGTCCCTATGAAGCACATGACTTTACTAATATTGCCTGTTTTACAGATGTGAAAACTGAAGTACATAAATACTAAATTATCTGCCCAGGATCTCGCAGCTCATAAGGGGCAGAACTGGGATGCGAACTCAGGGGTGTGGCCCCCGATTTTGTGCTTTTGTAAAAGCTTTGCTAACACACGCTCCACTACTTTGGTGAAGACCTAACAAGTAAAGCCAAGTTTATGGTATTCAAAAAGGAAAGGAATCACTTATGCTGGCAGAATACCCAGGGCCTGATTCCCTCGGTCTAACGGGTTATGTCCGGTGCCGTTCTTGCCTGTTGGTGAGGTGTTCCAGCTTGAAGATGTGCACGGTCTCAGTGTTGCTCGAGGCGCAGAGGAACTGTGAGTCCATACTGAAAACCAGAGAGCTGATGGTCACGTACCTAGAAACAGAGCAGGACAGGGACAGTAAGCCAGAAAAACGAGGGCTGTTGCTTTACACTTCAAAGATCAGCTTTATAAGAAAACTGCAGGTAGCTTGAAGTGCCTGTGTATTCTAAAATCCCTTCCACACCACGTTATTCATATTTAGAAATTAATGTCAGGAAGATTCACAAGGGGTCACGGTCTTTTGCGAGAAGAGACAAGGCACAGCCCTGCCTCTCCGTTGGCAGGCGGGAAGAACGGCTCCTTCCTGTCATGTTTGAGGTCTTCCAGCTGCTCTGTGCACCATGCAGCAGCAAACCCCACAGCCGATAACATCCCAAACAATCACACGTTACATCGCCCTCTACTTCCATGCAAGGGCATCAGAAATTATTTTTGGATCGTGACTTGCCGGTGCTCTCATTTCTCCTGTGCTGGCCTCTCACGCACACATCAAAAAGGACTGTCACGGCTGAACTCCTGTGTGAAAACTGCATCTCTGCTTTCCGTTTCACTAAGCCCTGAGTGGAGCCTCAAAGTCAATTACCTGAGAAAATACAGTTACAACTTCCTCTAGGTGACAGGAGGGCACAGAGCCACTCTCTGTCCTCCCTGGTTGGCTGCCAGTGGCCACCGCGGGACTTCTGTGGGGACCTTAAAACAGGTTTGACATTGAACACAGACCTTTTCATCCCCCTCCGGAACTCATAGAGCTTTTGCCCATCAGGTACAGAGAACACCCGGATGACCGTGCCCTGGAAAAGAAAGCAGGGGGACGTTTCCTAACCATTAATTACTTCACATGGAGAAGTCCCTTTAGAGAGGAGTTTTGTTTTATTGGTTTTGAACATCTGTTTCTGCGGAGGAAACGCAGAGTGTTGGGCATAGAGGCTTTTTTTTTTCCTTTTTGTCTTTTTTCGTGTCCGGCAACGGATCGCAACCCTCAGTGTCACGCCCGCACCTCGCTCAGCCAGTGAGCGGGAACCGGTCTGTATGTGGGATCCGAACCCTCAGCGGGAGTGCCGCTGTGCTCCCAGGCGGCGCACTCTAGCAGTGAGCCACCGGGCCGGCCCCATAGAGGCATTTTTATTTGTATATGTGCCATTAGGCAATTTTTGGAACAGGTGCGAAACATTGTTTCCTTTTCCCCTGCCCACCCTGCCCAAGGTTGTGTGTGTGTGTGTGTGTGTGTGTGCGTGCATGTGTGTTTGTGTGTGTGTCTCCTCTAAATTGCTATGGCTTCCTAGAATATTCAATCTCTGTCTATTATAATACACCTGCTTTTCATGGCATTTGAAATTCAACTTGACCACCTTCCTAGATTTTTCCAGTCAGAAGAGATCAATCTCTATTGCTAAATAGCAAAGCATTTTGTTTATACTGTGTTTATGAAATGTAGCATCTATCTATATCTATGGATGACATGCATGTACATTTCTTAATAAGACCACAAGTTTTTACACCAAATGTCTTTATCTTGCATAGCTCCTATTTTTTTTTTCCTTTTTGCCTTTTTTACTGACCGGTAACGGGATCGCAACCCTCGGTGTCGCACCCGTACTGGGGACCGGCAACGGGATCGCAACCCTCGGTGTTGCGCCCGCACCGCGCTCAGCCAGTGAGCAGGAACTGGTCTCCACATAGGATCTGAACCCTCAGCAGGAGCGCCGCTGCGCTCCCAAGCGGCGCATTCTCCAGTGCGCCACCGGGCCGGCCCTGCATAGCTCCTATTGATTAACACATGCATCGATGTACTACACCACGCAGGGGCTGGAAATTCTCACACTAAAATAAATTCTGAGTGGGGCCAGAGACCAGTAGATTTTCCTGTCCTGTCTCATTCCATTAGATCTCTGTAACCTCCAGACGGGAAGAGGCACTGGGAGATCACTCACCTTTTCCGATGCACTTGCTAGTTTGGAGCCCAAGGAGTTGAAAGTGATGGCAGCCAGCATCCCCTCATGGGCAGAAATAGTGCAGACTGTTTTCTGTTGGTTAAAAGGAAAAGTGGATATTGTTGCTGGGGAAGAGAGAAGATGGGTTTCATCTCTCTCTCCTTCCTCCTTTCTCCCTTGTCTGCAGGGCTCCCTCTGTCTCTCTCTCTCTCTTTCCAGCAGAAAAGGAACATTTTATTGCATATAAACCGTATGTACTTTTCTGGTGTATCAAGATTCTGCTCCAAGGGCCATTAAACTTCTGTCCCTTTTCCTGCCCTCAGGAAGGTGGACAACCAGCTGTGTGCCTGATGCAGCGTGTTGCTGTGGTGGGCTCTCCCTGCATGCATCTTTAGGGGACTTCCCACAGCAATCCTGTCCCGCTCTGTGAAGCTCAGAGATCAGAGGGCAGGAAATGTGAAACAGCTGCATACTGTCTCAGCCTGTGACACGGTGCACTGTGATACATGCAAGCAGACGGTCGGCCACCAGCTGGCAAGTGGTTTCCATTATGCTGAAGAGGCCTGACTTGGCCTGGCACGCTGCCTCAGGGTTATGCTGACCAATGGCAGGTGCCAGGGCAAAGATCATTGCCTCCTTCTCCACACCCCACCGCTGTGGCCAGAACAAACTCCCCCAGTGTTGCTTCTGCCTCCGCTCTTCACCCCACCGCGACAGGACCTCCTTATCTCATTTCATTGGCCATGCAGCCCAGGCAGGTGGGCTGGGTTAGTTGGGGCTGCCATCAACTTACCAGCGAGTTTCCATCATAAAGCACGATCTCGCCTGTGGTCAGGCTTCCAGGATAGGCTAAGTAAGAATTGGAATGGTTGATAGAGAGGGCACAGAGACCTGACAAAGAATAAACAGGAGGTGAAAAGCCAGTGTCCAAGGAATTGTGCGGTTGGAAAGGGCATCTGAAAACAGTACAACTACAGTGCCACCTGCTGGTGAGGGGAGGAACGGCTTGGTAGACATTTACTTTCTGTTATTATTCTAATCAAGGATTCCAATAAAGCAAACTCACAGGGGAAGACCTCCTGATTTAACACTGGCCATGTTCTCTCCACGGCTAAGCAATCAGAATTTGTAATATTGAAAACGCTCTTCTTCACATTTTACCCCAGGGCTCTGAAACAACATCCAATTCTCTTCCAATTCCATTACCCTCTAGGGCTACAGGAGAATTTACTCATAACTGAAATAAATCTTCCTACTGTGAAAGGTCAATATGTGTTAGCTGTTCTGCAGGAGATTAAATATGGTTGGCCAGTAATTTCAAGTTGGAGAACAGGAGCAGCAAAGGACCTACTTAGAAACTGCAGCTCATTTCTGAGCCGAATGTTCTCCTTTGATAAGGAGGGGGTGTTCATGTGAGGTCTGCTTCTGCAGTTAGGCTGGTGTACTTTGCCGTGGAAACACATGAAACAAAGGGGACATTTAGGATTTAAGGTGCTTCTACAGTATTCTGGAAGAGTAAGCAGCCAATTGAACCATTGAACCAACATAAATTATTTCTATTTACAGGGAATTCAAGGTGGGGAAATCCCATTACAACTTCAGTAAAGGACTTTCACAACAATGGTTTAGTTTAATAGAGGTATACACGATAGTAGTGAATTCAAGGAATTCTGTAGAACTAAAGCATGACCAGAATAGGAACTTTGAGAAGATTATGCAAGAAAGACATCTTTTTTTTTTTTTTCCTTTTTGTCTTTTTTACTAACCGGTAACGGGATCGCAACCCTCGGTGTCACGCCCGCACCGGGGACCGGCAACGGGATCGCAACCCTCAGTGTTGCATCCGCACCGCGCTCAGCCAGTGAGCGGGAACTGGTCTCCACATGGGATCCGAACCCTCGCTGCGCTCACAAGCGGCGCACTCTCCAGTGCGCCACTGGGCCGGCCCGAAAGACATCTTTTTAAATGAACAAAAAAAAGGTGACTGACATCTTTGTTACACGTTAGTTTGTTAAGTGGGTTTCTTATAAAAGTGTAAGAAAAACTTTAGGTCAGGCTGAAATGTACCCTTTGTAGTCTGCTGGGGGAGGAGAGCAGAGAGAAAAACCAAACATTTAGGATTGGAATCTGGGCCCTACCTCTTGCTCTGGCTTGGCCGAGCACACAGTCAGGGCTGTGCTCTTATCGCTTGCCACGCAGAAGTTCAGCAGGAAAGGGGTCGTGCCCCAGCACCCTCGATGGCGTGCTCTGGCACCCCTGCAACCCCCTTGCCTGTACAGCTCATTCCCAGTCCTGGTCTTAGAAGAGGCCCCTCATACCATCCCAGTTTTGCTCTGGGAACCCCAATTCCCTGACTTATCTGAGTTCTTTGCCATCAAACGTAATTTCAAGACCAGATAGGCAGGCAGAGCATTCTGGTCTTGTGAAACTGGGGAGGGAAGGCAATCAGGAGACGGGGCTTGCTGGCGTGGTAAGTTCCCATAGGGGCAGTTAGCGGAAAAGATATTAAAATAGAATGTGACAACTGTAGAAGGACTTGAGCACCAAACTACAGAGTTAAGATCTTACAAACGCAGTGGGTAACTACTAAGGCTCTGAGCACATATGCTTAAAAAAATAGCGTTAAAACCACAAGGAGATAACCATTTCATACTCACTTGGGCTGGCAAGGATATCAAGAAATTGGAACCCTATACACTGCTGGTGGGAATGTACAATGGACAGTGCGTTGGAAAACGAGCTGGTGATTTCTCAAAAGTTAACCACAGAGTTATCACAGGACCCAGAAATTCCACTCCTATGTATATACCCAAGAGAAATAAAGCGTATGTCCACACAAAAACCTGCATATGAATGTTCATAGCAGCATTATTCATAATAGTCAAAAAGTAGAAACAACCAAAATGTCCCTCAACTGATGAACAGATCGATAAAATGTGGTATATTCTTATAATAGAATATTATTCAGCAATAAAAAGGAATGAAGTGCTGATACATGCTGCAACATGGATGAACCTTGGAAACTTCATAAGTGAAAGAAGCCAGTCACAAAAGACCACATATTGTATTAGTCCACTGATTTGAAGTGTCCAGATGGATCAATCTATACAGATGGAAAGTAGATTAGGGGCTGCCGAGGGCTGGGGGGATAGAGGGTGATGGCTAGGAGGTGCAGGGTTTCTTTTGGGGGTAATGAAAATGTTCTAAAATTAATTGTAGTGATAGTTACACAACTCTGAATACACTAGCAGCTCTTGAATTGTGCACTTGAAATGGGTGCATGTGCTTTTAACTCAATAAAGCTAGTTTTTGTTTTTCATTTTTAAAGGCAGGGTTTTAAGAATATTTATCTGGCAGAGACAGGCTGAGGACGTGGATTCAAGACCCAGGTCTGCCCTGTACTGTGTAACTCTGGCCGAGTTTCCTACCTGTGAAATGAAGGGGTTACAGTGATCTAGGGATCTTTCCTCTATCAATCCATCTGGATTTAGTCAAGGAATCCTGCATAGCAACCCTCACAGATTTAACAAAAGTCCCCAGAAATGTTGAATGTGAGTTCCTTCCATTTCCAACGGTCCAAGTCTCAGAAAATCCAACTAGCTACATAAATGTGTCTTTTTACTTTGTGAAGCAGGAAGACTTTTTTCAGGCTTAGTAGCTATTACTGTTCTATTAGTCTCCTTCTTCAGTCACAGGTGTCACATGACACCTTTTAAGGAAGGAAATGGGCCTTTTCTTTGATATTATTTTATATTATAAAAGTGATAGTGTAGAAAATTTGCAAAGTCCAGAAAATATGAAGAAAGAGAAAAAAAAGACCACCCATAATTCTAAAACCCAGAGGCTTTTTACTCAACATATGAGCATATTTTCTTCCAGTCTTTTTTCTACATAGGAATGAAGTTTTAATGTGGCTTTCGGACTTGTTTTAGACAGCACGTATTTTCATAAGTCATTGTCAGCTATAATTTCACTGAAATTGTTTGGTTGTAATTCTTCCACAGCTTGAAAAGAAGTGCCTGCTATCAATTCAAGAACCAGTGGCGTCATCAGCTGGAGTTAGAAGGAAGTTCTGTGATTCTAAGTCATTCTCATGTTGGTACTGATAATATTACATGTCAAACTTTAGGCAAGTTAACAGTAATTTACAAAATGCAGTTCTCTCTGAGTTGATTAATGCCTCGAAATATGCTGTCTAATTTTCAGAAATAGAAAGAAATCTTCCCTGTACTGCAAATGCTTTATGCTACTACAAAAGGGAGCTGTCTGCATCACCTGTACTACCATTTTCAGAAAGAGGACTCGCTGCGGAATAAACCACAACACCGTTCTGTGATCCACATTGCTGCGTGGTATAGAACGCTCTCTCAATAGTCCATAAAAGGTGGTCAGGTCTGTGACACCCCCTTCCGCCCCCTGAGTTGTGCAGTTGGCAGGACTTCCAGGGAGCTTTCTACTCTTGGTTGCTCAGTGCACAGACTGCTGTGCTAGCAGGAAATTAACTGCAAGCCCCATCTGGCCAACCTCTTTAAAGGAAACAGCCTGCAATCTCTGACACAACAGGAATGGGCATGACACAAACACAGACAGAAGGAAGGAAATTTACAGCCGCATTAGACACTGAATGTGAAGCAACGATAGAACTCTGTGTATCTAGTTTATTTGTTATTCACTAGGCTGAGATACATTCAGAATTCATGTGCTAAAGCCAATTAGATAAGTGATTCTATCTTCCTTGTATACCCAGTAAGGATTTATAAAGTCAAGAGCCAAGGTTTCCATCTCATATTTTTGTTCAGAAGATAAACCGGAGGATGAGAATGAACAGCAGACCCTTGCCTCTGAGCATTGTATATTCGTGGTTTTGGCAGTTGAGGGTCCTCTTAAGGTTGCCCAGCTGGGCACTGGTCATGTCGCTGACAGGCAGCTTTGTCCCACGTGGGGCTAGTGAGTGCACCTAGCCAGTGGACCGTGTGGATGCTGCAGACTCGCCTTTGCTTGCTCACGCCATGACCTCAGTTAATCCTCCCCATGACATCTCCCATGACACCCCCATTTTACTGAAGTGGAAAGGGAGCCCAGGAGACGATGAGGTGATTACAAATTTGAGCATCTGAAAGGGTCTTGGGCCATCTCTCCAAGGAACATCAGAAGTCTAAAAAGACATTTTGGTCAGCCTGCCTTCGTTTTTCAGAAGGAAATGTTCCATCTATCCCTGGATCCTTTTACAATGTTTATCCAAGACAGAAACAAACGCCTCCCATTGTTACTCATTTTTCGGAAGATGAAAAGCATTCCCTTCACAAACAATACACGTTCTCTCTAGCATGAAACACAAATAGCCCCACATGTTTAAACCTTATTTTCTCTGTGTTTAAGCTGCAAAGAGTGAAACGACCAATGAGTTTTCTGAGCTGAAGAAAGACAACTATATTTGCTAAAAATTAAGAGTAAATGGGGAGAAGTTCTCTTTCCACAGGGGCAGTGTTCTCAGTCCTCAAGCAGCCCTGTCCTCTGTCCCTGAAAGGGCCGAGGGGGGAGGTGGATGCAGCGCTCACCCCGCGACCCCTCTGCTGGACAGGACACTCACCGTGCCCAGCTGAGAGCCGAAGGCAACTTGCAGCCTTCTGTGTGCTGGGCTGTCGCTCTCTAAATCTGTCAAGGGCAGCAAGGTCTGCCCCTTCTGCCAGCTCTGCTGGGATTCAGGTGCCTCTTGTGCCCTGTTGCAGAACACACCTTCCCTTCAGCTGTCCGTGTCCCACAGTAAGACTCTGGTTCCACCCCACCGAAGGCTGCTAGAGCACCTGTCTCGTACTGTCTCAGAACAGACTGTCTCAGGGAACTAGTGCTGGCTAGATTTGGGGTTCCTGGTGTGTGGCTGCCATGTCTGTACCTGACGGTGTCCACTGTGGTAGCAGTAGACACATAGAACGTCCTCAATAATCGCTTCTCCAGATTACTTCAACCTCTCATTCCAAAAACAAAAAACTGACCATGCCCAGCTCCTTCACTTACCGTCTTTCATTTTGCGAAATACCCTTCAAAGTCATTATCTCATAGAACTTTATAGCGGCCTCAGTGGCTGAAATTTTAAAGCACTGACATCAACAGCAAAGGGCCATCAATATAATTGAGATGCAGAAGAGGAAACCAGGCAGAGGAAATATTTGCTGCAGGCTCTGGGCTGGTCACTTTCACAAACATTACCTTGTTAAATTCTCAGCCAATCTTGTGAGGTGGGTGTTATTATACCATTTTACAGATAAGGAAATTGAGGCTCAAAACATCTAGATCACTTGGGTGGGGCCACACAGATCTTTAAATTCAGTGAAAGTCAAAACATTAGGAAACTATAATACATGGAAGTGGTCATTAAATGATACTACATCGAAATACAATTTACAAATATTAACTTGAATCATTCGATACACTAGAAACTGTTCTCATGTGAGGACACCCCACCCCACCACACAATAAAGGAATTCTTTCTTGTTTACGTCCACTTTAAAGAATTCCTAGAATGTCATCATTTGCTATTTCTTTTCTTTTCTTTTTTTTTTTTTTTGTCTTTTTTCGTGTCCGGCAACGGATCGCAAACCCTCAGTGTCGCGCCCGTACCGGACCAGGACCGGCAACGGGATTGCAACCCTCAGTGTTGCTCCCACACCTCGCTCAGCCAGTGAGCGGGAACCGGTCTGTATGTGGGATCCGAACCCTCAGCGTTGGTGTTATTAGCACCACACTCTACCGAGTGAGCCACGGGCCGGCCCATAAATTCTTGTTAAATAAGTATTTGGGGTATTAGCAAATTTCCCCTTGAATTACCAGACTTTATGTCCTGCGAGAGAGGGGAGCATGTCAGTTCTGTTCACCGCTGTAAGACCTTTTAGAAAAGAC